CTCCCGCTCCTCCCCGTCCATGTCTTTGCCCTCCTCCTGCTGCTACTCCATGTCTTCGCCCTCCTCCCCCTCATTTTGGTTGTTGACATGTACTCGCTATAACCTCCCCTCCCCGCCCCTACCTGTGCCACATGGCCTTTTTGTTGTTTTCAACCCATTTGCAGTACTTTGTATAGCAGGCCTTTTTTTTTTTTTTTTTTTTTTTTTTTTTTAAATCCGGACATGTACACACATCCGGACAGTGATCCGGACAGGCCGATCCGGACATGTCCGGATTAACCGGAAAATACCGGAACTCCAGACGTTCGGATGAAACCGGGAAATCCGGTTCCCGGTGTCCGGACTTGTCCGGTTCACTTGTCCGCCGCTGCCATGGGCAAAAGTTGTTCAGTTTATTTTTCTGCATTACATAGTTTGTTTTCATTTTATTTTTTTTTTGCTGGGACCTTCTCTGGTCCTTGCACGGGCTGGCCACCCGGGACCCAGGCGGCCCGGCTGGTAGCCTAGCTTTTTTTTAAAAAAAAGTCAACTGCAAGGAACATGAGTATGGACGAAGCACAGAAATCCAGAATCCAAAATCACACTGAAGTCCAAGTATTCAAAGCCAAAGCAGATAGCACATGGAACCGAGTAACCATCCCATTGAGAATGATACAGAAGAATCGTGAGTCAATGTCCATGCCCAACAGGGCAACACCAACAGCATAACCCAAATGTAGCTCTCTCTTGTGAATGGCGCCAGGCGTCCTATCTACTCTACAGCCTATCCTACAACTACAGCAATGAACMGCAACCAGACAACTTGACTACCAGCTAGTGATGATGTCAACACCAATGCAGACCTCCACCATCACCAGGTACGGGTCCTCTTCCCCACACTCTCCCTTGTTACCCACACAGTGTCCTTCACCTCCAAAGTACCACCTTCGCCCTCACCTCCCCTGCACCCTCATGCGGCCCAGGCTATGGCCGCCAGTGCCCTCTGTGCAGGCAGCGCCCTACCGCCTAGCGCTGGCCTGCTTGCTCTTAGCGCAGCACTGCCTTGCACAGCGCAGCACACATGCATCCGCGCAGCGTGCCCGCAAGTGCCAGCATTGGCCAAGATCCCTGCTGCCTCGCCCTGCTTGCCTATATGCCAATGCAGCATGTGGGCGGCCTCCCTTCAGCCTGCGACCGGGACCCAGAGGCTGAAGCCTTCCTGATACAGTTGGGCCCCGGAGCAATGGAGTTGTGCCTCTCTTCTCAAGGCCTGCGGCCAGATTCAGATAGTGGGCCGATTTTCCCTTTGGCATTTCGGCCTCTCTACCCAGCATGCATTGTCGGCCTCACGTTCGAGTGCCCAGGGCCTAACTAACTCAGAGGCCCTGGGCATTTCAGCATTTGCTGAAATCCGAGACTCGGTGCACTCCAACCAACTGGCGTGCTGCAACTGTATAGACCCCACTTCGTGAAATGTTGGCCGAGAGGGCTCTTGTTGATTTGCTGGCCCGCCTTCACTTAGGGCGGGCACTAGGCTTGCTGGGGCCTTAGCCCAGAACATGTAGAACATGGCAAGGCCCCTACTTAGGGAGGAAGTCTAATGCTGATCTAGGCTTCCATCCTAAGTGCAGCTGGTTAGGACTAACGCCGGTACTGCTATATATAGCATTGTTGTACAGGCTGGCGATGAGAGGTAACTTCTCATCCCAGTCGTCCTGGTTGGGCTTCATGTAATGCCTCAGCAAGTGCTGTACAACTCTATTCATTTGTTTGGCCTGTCCGTTGGCTTCGGGATGATTCCCTAAAGTCATCTGAAGTTGACTGCCCATCTGTTCCGCAGTCTTCTTCCACAGCTCACTTGTGAATCGGACGTCTCGGTCACTAATGATGGTCTTTGGTAAACCAAAGTCCCTTACCCAGTTRTCCTTGAACAACTTGATGACGTATTCCGTCCTGGCTGTCTCTGGCATTGGAATTAGTCTAGCGTATTTGGTGAATCGGTCAATGATGACGAAAATGTGCCTCTTACCACTCTTGCTGGTCACAAGAGTGTCCATGAAAGCCATGGAAACACTCAATCCTGGACCATCAGGAATAGGTAAAGGCTTCAATAACCCAAGCGGTGCTTGAGTTCGCGGCTTGTCCCGCTGACAGACCTGACAGGTCTCAACATATTTCTTTGCGTCATCTAACATTCTGGGCCATCAAAATCGTTGTACTAAGTTAGCACTCGTTTTCTTGTAGCCAAAGTGCCCGGTTGCGTCATGACATTCGCCTAAAAATAAACTACGCAACTGTTCACTAGATGGAACTACCAATCTTTTTACTTCGACCTTATCAAGATAGATTAGTCCATCCACCATCACAAACTCACTTTTTGTGGCCTTGTCTTTTGCCTGAAGTTTGTGGATGATGTTCATCGTGACACGGTCTTCCTGATAGGCTCCCACCAATGATTGAGTTACTTCATTAGATACGCCAAAGTCAGAAACTAGCGCACCTAGGTAGTCTGCTCTACGGGATAGCGCGTCTGCAACCTTGTTATACTCTCCCTTCAGGTACTCAAGCTTGAAGTCATATTGGTCTATGACTTCAATCCATCGCTTGAGTGCATCAGAAAGAGCCGGTTGAGTCTTGATCCATTTGAGGGTCTGATGATCAGTCCTCAGATAGAATAACCTTCCC